CTCTGGGAAGTGGGGGGGGGGGTTTGGGGGGTGGGGAAGGGGGTTTATTTTGTAAATGTTATAAAACTTTTAATAAAAAAAAAATATTGCTGCATTTAATTGGGCATCGTGACCTGATCCAGAGGGAGGAGAGAGAATTCTATGCTTTCACTATGTTGGGCTTGGGTGGGGTTTTGCCACAGCTGGTTTTGCTTTCATTAGTGCCGAAATGATGTACTCAATAAAGTTTTACATTAAGAGATCGGAATGTCTTGAAGGTGTTTGCTTGGTTGGGCTCGTCAGTCGGAACCTTGACATTCTGTTTATTAGGGCTTCAGTTTTGAGTGTGTATCCTTCCATCGGTATGTTCCAGTCATGAGTTTTATCCCACCAAGTTTCAGTAATGGCAACTATATCGTATCTAACTTCATGTACTAATACTTCAAGTTCACCCTATTTGTTCCCTCAACTTTGAGCTTTAGTATACAGGCAGTTGAGTCCTTTAGGTATGTTTCTGATATCTCCTACTTTGTAACTGGGATTTCCATCCTTCACATCACTCTCTACTTCATTATGTTTTTCTTTTTCTTTCTTTCTTTTTATTCCCCACCTCATTATATGATTGATTATCTAGTGGTTTTTGCTTGGAATTAGGTTCTAAAATTAGGTTGTGAAGATTGCCCCCTCCCCGCTGAACTTCAGTTGAGGGGGCCCTTTTTCTTTTTTCTCTGTATTTTCTTTTTCCTCTGTATGTATTCTGAAATTAATCAATTACTATGACTTGAAACATTGAAAAATTTATGAAGTTAACCATGAGCATGGACCTTGTGCAGTCTGAAACTCAACAGATTAATTCAACCTCTTTTGAAGGGAGGAGAGAAATCAATGTAACCTGTTTTGCAGAGAGGTGCTCCTTCATGCACTGGAGGCTCTGAGATTTGGAGCAGGTCGGCTACCTACCAGTGCAAGGCTGGCTGCCTGCCTGCCTGCCTGCCAGCCATCTGAGGAAAAGGCACAAGTTCGCAACCTCAGCTTAATTACAGCAGCAATGCCAAGCATTCTTTGCTGTTGCAATTAAACTGTGGCAGTGAGCTTGTGTAGCACTCTTTGTAAGTCATGAGCCCACAGTTTTGGTGATTGGTGACTAAATTTATTATTATTTAGTTTTAAAATGTAATATCTATGTTTTGTTTTATTTTTATTTTATTTTCTTAAATATGACCCATTTTAATCTGGTTTAGGCCTCAGTTGGGAGTGTTGTGGGCATGTGTGCTTGACACCTCTGGTGTAATGGAATAGCTTCAAGCATCTGAAAAACAGTTGGTTGCCACTGAATATAACAATGTTTCCCAGAAAATTAAATTTGGAAAGTGAACATGTAAAACACTGTATGATACAGTGGGCAAGGAGCTTTGGTTATAATGTGATGCTGGAACAATGGGAGAATATATGGATGAAAAGTTTAAAATTTACATTGAACTACAATTTAAAAGAAAATTTCTATAAGAGGATGTATCGCTGGTATTTAACACCAGACAAGCTGTCTACAACAGGGCTTTTCAACCAGTGGTATGCGACCACCTGGCTGGTGGTACACGGCGTCGTCTTCCTCCCCCCCGCGGCGTCACCTTCCTCCCCTCCGCTCCTTCCCAGCTCACTTGTTTGTGGAAAACATGCTGCTTGGCTGCAGCCTGCACGAACCCTACCAAATGTGCCCTGCAGGAGGGCGCGTGAAGAGCGCAGGCGCAGAGCAAGGCCCTGCCCTCCCCAGGGACTCATTGTGCAGCAACCGGATTGACTTCTTCTCATGCACACAGGTCAGCGGGATCCGTATCGCCCTTCCCCTCTCTCTTCTTACTTCACAACAAGTGCTAGCCTGATAGGAGACAGAGCTCTTGGCTGACTGATCGCCTTTCTTCCCCCCCTCATCTTTTCGGGAGATGCGCCTTTGCAGCAGGCTTCCCCTTCCGTTAGTTATCGGAGGTTTGAAAGGCAAGCTGCTCCCGGAGCGTAAAAGTAGAGGGTCCAAACAGCGAGAGTGACGCAGCTCTCCGACTCTGTGCTTCAGGCTGAAACAGTCTCAAAGGTGGGGACCGGAGATTACTTCGCCCGAAGGAAGGGTGACTTGGTGGCGATGCAGGTTTGTCTCCCTTCCTTTGGAGGAGGGAGAAAAGCGTCGCTCTCTTTCGGGCGGGTGCAAATGTAACTTAAGAACAGTAGCAATGTGGCCAGAAACGGGCATCTCTCAACAGCGCTGGGGAGAGCTGTGAGAAGAACGATGTACACAGAGAGGATCGGGGAACCTGGCTCGAATGCTGGGCCCCAGTAGGGGAAAAATGACTGGGAGAAGTAGCCGGTTCGTAACATACGTGCCTGAAAACGGGAGGTGAACCGGCGACATCCCCGCCCTGCCTGTGCGCTCTCCTCTGCCTCTGCATGCGCACAGGCAGGGCCGTGATGTGTTGCTGCCTGCCAAAACCAGGCTGGGGTCTGGGCGGCGTAGCACAGGACAAAGGAAGGAAGGAAGGAAGGGACAATGGGAGCTGCAGCGCTGCAGCCTTCCAGTCCCGTGAGCATCCCTGCGCCGTTCGGCTGTGGTCCAGGCCTCGCATTCATCAGCTGTTCGTTGGCCGGGAGACAGAGCCTTTCAGCTTCAGGCCGCGCCATCAGCCCTTGGCTCCTTGCCACAGCCTCGCACCCATCAGCAGTTCTGCGGCCAGAAGTCGGAGCCGCTCAGCTGTTGGTCAGGACGCCCATGGAGCCGACACGCTGCCAGGTAGAACGGCACCGGCCGCTGGTCTCCTTTGCTGCCCCGCACGTCGTCCTCCACCCCTCCCCCGCCTGTTCATGTCGAGCCCACGGGGGCTTGACAGGGAGAGAGGGAGGGAAGGAGGAATGGACTCCTCCTCCTCTCCTAAGGTTCTTCCCAAGGGCGCCACAATCCTCACGAAAGCGGGGGGAGAAGCAAAAGGGGTGAGAAAGCTTGCGGCGGGCTCGAAGGAGCACCCGTCAGTGTCGGAGACAAGAAACTCCCCCACAAACACAGGGGAAGGGGTGGAGAAAAGGAGCCCCCTTTGGCAGGAAACCGCCACCTTCTTCTCCTTGGCTTTGCGCTCTCCTGTTTCTCGGCAGCCGGGCTGCCAAGCCTCTACTGGCTGGAACTCCGCGTTTGTTTTGTTTTTTACTTCTCGCCTTCACGTGTTTCTGCCGTATCTCCTCGGCGCTCCCGGGAACGGGGCAGGCGGAAGAAAGCTTGGCTAGGCTAGGCAAAGAAAAGCCACAGAGCCGCGAGCTAAGATCGCAGGCAGGCCGGGGAAGGGGGTAAAGAAGAGGAAGGGGATTGGGAGAGAGGAAACGCCAAGCTTGTCCTCATCTCTCCCAAGGACCTCCTGCGCCACCTCACAGGAACACCTGGTTTCAGATTTACACCGCAAAAGTTTTTCTCGCGCAGAGGAGAGAGGAAAAACAATTACGGAACACTCGGGAATCCCTTGCAAGGCACCATGTACCTTGGTGCTTATTTTCTAACGCCTTCCCCCCGTGTTTTCTGCTCCACCCCGAATTCGCCTCCCTTCCACTCTCCTTACATCTATGGTCTTAATACAGCCCTAAGTCTGTCTCGCTTTCAACACCCCCTAAAATTCTTCATTCAGAAGAATGAAGGGGCGCGAATCGGCGTGGGCTCAGAAACACCGATTCCGCGCCCCTGCCCTCTCGCTCGTGCAAGCGAACTGGGCAAGAGCCCAGGATCAGCTTGTGCAGCTACAGCTGATCCGCGCTTCTGCAGAGCAGCCCAGAAGCGCAGATCAGCTGTAGCTGCTCTCCTGGGCTCCTGCCCAGCTCACTTGCTCGCGCTTTGCTGGAAAACATGCCGCTTGCTAATTTAGCAGAAGCGCGAATCAGCTGTAGCCCGGCGCTGATCCTGGCGCTTCTGCTAAATTAGCAAGCGGCATGTTTTCCAGCGAAGCGTGAGCAAGTGAGCTGGGCAGAGCTCTCCTCTGCCTCTGCCTCTGCGCATGCACAGGCAGGTTTGGCATGTTGCCATGGCCACCAGCAGCACAGCCAGCAGCCACGCTGGTAGCCTGTCCCCTTCCCCTTGTCCCATCCTGAGCACGGAGGGGGGGAGGAGGAAGGGACAAAGGGAGGGAAGGGACAATGAGAGAGGGAAGGAAGGAACAATGGAAGGGAGGGAGGCAAGGAAGGAAAGGACAAAGAGGGAGGAAGGAAGGAAAGGAAGGAAGGAAGGGAAGGACAATGAGGGAGGGAGGGACAATGGAAGGGAGGGAGGGAAGGAGGAAGAGACAAAGAGGGAGGGAAGGAAGAAAGGAAGGAAAGAAGGAAGGAAGGGACAATGGGAGAGAGAGAGGGAGGGAAGGAAGGCTCCTATGCCTGTCCCACCCCCTCCACCAAAGACCCATGGATCCCCCCCACATCCCCGCTTGCACCCCCCACAGGCACCCTGCAACCTGAGTGATGAGCTGGCCACACACCCCTGGCCATTGACTTCATTTGTCAAAAAGTTGCAAAAGGTGATCACATGACCGTGGGGATGCTGCAACAGTAAAAATGGTTATAAGTCACTTTTTTCAGTGCCGTTGTAACTTCGAACAGTCACTAAGCGAATTGTTGTAAGTCGAGGACTACCTGTACTTTATCATTTTTTTCCTTTTTGGGGGGGTCATCAAGTTTTTGACACCTTGCTGGGCGAATGGTGGTACTCGGATATTGCCTTATCCTAAAAGTGGTACAATGGGTGAAAAGGTTGAAAAGCCCTGGATTAGATTGATTTGTTGTTACAGAAATGGCCAGTTTATACTATTGTGAAAAAGTAAAAAGGTGTGGCTTGACGTTAATGCTTTATTCTACTGTAACAGAGGAAGTCGGAAGTCAATGATTTTTTTTTCTTTTCCCCCTCTCCCTCACTTTCTTTTCCCTTTCTCCTCCCCATTGTGTCCCCCCAATTTGCTTTGTATCTTATTCTATAATTCAATAAAATGTTAAAAAGCAATGTTTCTCTGCAGAAATTTGCCTGTAATGGTACTGTGATTGAGCATCCTGAATACGGGGAGGTGATCCAGTTGCAGGGTGACCAGAGGAAGAACATTTGCCAGTTCCTCTTAGAGGTGAGTTTCAACAAGTCTAGCAATTCAGACAGCTGACTCAAATATTAAAATGCACATAGCAGCTCATTTAGGTTAAACAAATACTTGGAAATCATTAGTACACTTTAGGGCCTGAACATGATAACAAAATAGAATTTAATGAGTCACTCTGCCAAATGTTGTGCAGGATCTGAGGTGTTGCTTGATAAAGAAATACAGGAAACCAGAAGTTGCCTTTAAGCTTTACGTTTTTATTCAGCTGAACAAAGACGGGCCCCTCAAAAAGAGAGAAGCCCCGAATGGCAAGAAATCCTTGTATTTATTCTTTTTGATTACATAAGCAATCCACCCAGCAAAGCTGGGACACATAAGATAAAGACTCCACCCAGAAAGGCTGGCTCACCATGGATAAGAAAGGAGAAAGCAGAAGTAGCTAAAAATGTTCCTTTTGGGTGTTTCCCTAAAGACACTACATGTTCTCAGGTGACTTGGGACATTGGGTGTTTTCCTTGCTGACCTTCCATGATTCTGCACCCATGACTCTGCAAGTACCCAAAGATAGCAGGGCCATCTGCACATATTCACAATTTATGCTTCCTATGCTTTCCCCTGATTTCAGGTCACCATAATCCCCCCTTTCATACTTTGAGCAGTGCGCAGAAGTATGATCATCAAACTGGATAGACACTGGATAGGCTTCTGCAGCATGTGGGCCACAGGCAGAGGTGATTAGGGGCAAGCAATGAATGATACAAGCAAAAAAGATAACAAGGAACACCACAGAGTGAAGATAGCTCCTCAGGCTTTTCAGGCACGAACTTAGGTTCCCCAGAATCAGAGTGAGGAGGCGGCTGTTGTGCTTGTATATTGTCAACTAAAAATGTCATGACCCCCTCTTGTTGTCTGTCTTCACCTGGTGTCAGCATGTTGGATGCTGCCTTACCTTTGGCTTTATCGTTCAAAGCACCCTTTTTAGGTTCGGCATCAATGTTTTGGGGAACACCTGGCTGAAATTCTAGAGCTATCTTTTCAGGTTGGGATACTCGAGAAGGGGCTTTTTGGTTTTCCTGGCCAGTGTTTGGACTCTCCCAACCATGGGTAAGAGGAAACCGTCCTTGCCGAGATATAGTGGGGGGCACCGGTTGTGGCAAAACAACAGGAGAGTTCATGCTTGGAGGGTGTCAGATTGTACGATTACAATCTGACCCATCCCAGTCCACAGCAGCTGTCCCCATAGTCATGTCACATACCTTGACCATGACCAGAACCTGACCACGAACTTGACCACCCTTCCCATAATCTGCCCCGTAAGGACAGAGCAAGCTCCACAGAAGAAAGAAGGAAGAAAGAGAAACTTGGAGTATGAAAAGGAAAACAACATAGAGTAACAGAAAAGAAGAAATGAACAATTCAAACAATATACAAGATGGAAACCAAGGCAGAGAGGAGCGACATCCGCAACATAAGTAAGCAGGGAACCGGTGAGAGAAAATAGCCTGAGAAGAAGCCTGGAAGGCACAGGTGACATGGTTCCGAAAGAAATAACTTTTCAAAGAACTTTGAGGCTTAATTACCTTAAAGAATCCTTTAATGGGTTACATAATCCGGCACGAACAAAGGAAAGCCAAAGACTGAAACACCCCCCCATCCTAGCTCTCGCGACAAGCACAACTCCCTCCCTCCTTTCACAGTCATCAATCATATGCTCCAATTAAACAGAGGTGTGAACCTTCCTCCCGTCTCATCTCTGTTATTACAGACTGTTGTTGCTTTGACCTTGGCTGTGCTATGCTAAGATAATGTTGTTATTCACAGGCATTCCTC